TGAATTCCTGCTTCCAGGGAAAATGTTAGAAAAAGAAAGGGAGAAGGATTGAAGGAGAAGAGGAAGAATGAAAGGGGGTTGCTACTGTTCCATGTTCATCACATTTACATCCCATATTTCTTCCACTCAGCAGTGAGCATTGTGTCCTGGCAACCTGGAAGTTACATTTCAGCAGTTACTGAGGGCTTCAGATTAGAATGTGGATGGCTCAGAGTATTGCTTTTCTGAGGGTATGAATGGAGATTGACTTGCAGCAGTGGTTGGGACCCTCTCCTGATTGTCTTAGTTTCTCCATCTTTTAGACACCTTTCTTAAACCCTTCCCCTCACCAGCCCTCTATTTTCCTGTTCCTGTTCACTGCCTTTCAGTAGATTCATCTTCTTTCTGGGAAGCATAACAGAGCGAGTATTGGATGAGAACCAAGGTTCAAATCCATCCTCACCCATGACGTGCCCGGGAACTAATTTTTGGTGGAACCCCCCACAGGGTTTAAGCAGCTCAGGTAAGAAGAAGGAAACTAGAACGATGCACTGTATACTACCTGAAGCTTCTTGGAAGAAATATGGGATGTAAATGTGATGAACATGGAACAGTAGCAACCCCCTGTCATTCTTCCTCTTCTCCTTCAATCCTTCTCCCTTTCTTTTTCTAACATTTTCCCTGGAAGCAGGAATTCATTTAAGACAGAGCTTCTTAGAACAAAGCTGCCAAGCCTAGTTCTTTGCCACGGTCAGCCCTGGGGGATCCATCCATAGGAGAATGAAGACTATCACTGGGCGTGTGCAGAGTGAATTCCTCACCGTAATCTCAGCAATTATTTGGGGACGAGTCCTTGTTGGGCAGAAGAGTGGGGATGTAAGAACAGATATATTCTATACAGGCATAGAATTAAGATCCTCCCAGCATGTTTGTTTTTTTTTTCCAATCCAGATTGAGCATCAGTCATGCCAAAATCTGCATGAGTGTGGAATACCTGGAGAAAGGATGCTTTTGTCTTAGAAAGTGTATGGTGTGATTTCTCTGGGCTGGGAAAACGCCATATTCTCTCCCCGCCCCATTGCCCCAGCCCGTGAAGATAGACTTCACTCGGACTTGAGAAAGTGAAGGATGACAATA